GAGTAACAAAATAATATTTTATATGCCTTTCTTATAAATATATGCATTAATGATAGTGTTAGCTAAAAACCACTGACATGTTAATCATTTAGTCATGGTTTTCACATGAAATACTTTTTTTAATGCTCATATCTACTCTGTCAGTTGGCATAATCATTATCCCTATTTTGCAGATGAGGAAAATTACGGTCAACGAGGTTAAATAACTTGCCCAAAATTACATAGCTAGAATATGGCAGAGCCTGAATGGTTTTAATCCCTGCAAGATAATAGATAGCTTTAATTCACAAATTTTTCTAACAACCTCATTTCTGTAGGCAACATGTTGAAAAAGGCACACTTTACAAATAAAAAAATTAAATTCTATAAAGAATAACTTGCTCAATATCACACTAAATTAGCATTAGCAGCCACATATAAAATAATTCCACAAAAGCTAGTCTAACAGTACTGTAATAATAAGAAATGTCATATATGGAGTTCCAGTTTAAATACAGATTCTAACATCACAGTCAGAATTTATCTTTCTAAACCTAAAGAAAAGTTTAGCTCTTAGTTCTCAATGTTGTTGTTTTTTTAACTAGCTACAACTCAGTAAGACTGATGCTCTGATCACTGTTACATGTGGTACAGAAAACTGTAACAGAAATTTGGAATTACCCAGTGAATTTATATGCCTCCATTATCAGCTTGGCATAACAAACTAATTAAGGACAATACGACTGCTTATAAATAACTCAACCCAACATCAATATTTAATAAACTTCTATTCTCATCCTGTAAATATTTTAACACTTCCACTGACAATATGCTACAACAGAAAGGACTCCTTAAAAAGCTAGCTATTAACTCTAGCATATATGGCATATATGTCACTTAATATCACACTAAAATGGTATATTCAAGAACAAAAAATGTCCACCCCTTTTTTCCAAACTTACAAGGAATTTTTAGAAAGAAACAAAAGAAAACATAAAACTGATAATTCATCTGCGTAGCTAGTGTAAATTCTGTGGAGTACTGATGTAAATTCAGTACTGGTGGAACATTGGTGTAAATTCCATACTGAATTTACTAATAATGTCTTCTCCCAGATTTTATACAAGATACAAAATCATATTTGGAACACCATATGCATACCTTAGAGACACTAACTCTCTGCATTAAAATATATGCTTCCAGTTATCATATGAATGGTATCATTATAATATTTAAAATATCAAAATTATAAGTGTATGTTTAATAACAACATGTTCAGTTTTCTTGATCTGTTCTCTAAAAAATATGCAAGACCAAGAGGTTTTGATGTAAACTCTCTTGGTTTCTAATTTTTCACTTTTACTTTTGACATTAAAATTGCCTTTCTCAAAACTAGAGGATGAACAAATTAAGAAAATCAGTTTTCTCTGAATAGCTATTTGATGAAACAGAAGCAGAAACAGTAAGCTACTCACTTCCACCTTTGTTTATTCAACCAATGTGTTTAAAATGACTAACTCACGTATGCTTAGTACACTCCCTCTTCAGTATTTAATGAACTGTGGTAATGGAAGGGGAAAGATCACAACCACAGAACTTCTAACATGTTCCTGGTAGGAACAGACATAGTACCTGTAAGGTGAATTACAGAACTCTTCTTTTTTGTGACATAATACATCGGCATGTGGTAACTCAGGGGTATTGTAAAAATAGCTCTAGCCTACTTTAGTAACAGAAAATGACAAAGTCCTCCTGAAATCCTCTCTTCTGTATCTTATCTAATACCAAAACAAACGATCAACGTGTAAAGCATGGCTAAAAATCTTTCAAAACACAAAAGATAGTTTACACTTTCCATGAGTACATGACAGAGTTTACTTCAGATATGATATACTAACGGCATGTTTGTTCTCTGAAAACTCCCTATCTAATCTCTTTTGGAGATAGAACTATTTTCTCATAAGATCAACCATAGCATCAAAATAATAATCAATGGTGACAACTTAATCTCAGGACAGAAGTGTAAAATACTTCTGATTTACTTCTAGGGAAAGACACATTTATTTTGGTCTTTCTTAATTGCAGTATTTCTCTTCAATAAGAGACTAACTTTGAAATGGTATACTTTCTCCTGTTTTTCTTCCTATAATTCTAGTGGCTAGGCTCAGGTAAATAAAAACAGTGTTTTGGAACACAGTGTACATGTGTACACTCTCTTCAGTCATGGGTAACTGAGAGAGAAATAGCACAGTTCTTTATTAACATTTTTTCTGTAAAAATATAATGCTCCCTTGACATAATGATAAAATGAATTAACTACTCCCCTAGGTGGGATAAACTAAGAAACATAGTAATAAACGGAGTTACAAGGCAATGCAATATATAGTCCTGATCAACCCTTAAATGTGATCAAAAGCAAAAGTAGAATTTGGTCTCTTTTTCTTTACTAGAAAAGCCTTTTACTAGAAATAGCCTTTTATTAGAAAAAGCCTTTTACTAGAAAATAAAACAAAACTTAGCAGTGTTTCTCAAGTAGGCCCCAGGAGGAAAGTGAACATATACCCAAGGGATCTTGGGGTACCTTTACCTTAGGCTCAAAATTTCTTTCAAGTCTCCACTTAGGGCTTTAAATATTATGAAAAATTTGTTTTCTACCTCGTAATATACACATATTTACTTTCATTTCCTCATTGCCATCAATTTTCAAAACAAAGAAAAAGCATACACCAGGAATATATGCCATGATTACTTCGTGGTTTCATGTAACTCCAATACCTAGCTCCTCCCAAAAACCCAGTTTATGAATTACAGATTTAAGAGAATGTGGCATATGAATACCTCCATTTATCATCGATCTCCTTTTCTATTTTATTAACAGAGTCTCACTCTGTTACTGGGCTGGAGTGCAGTGGCACAATCTTGGCTTAATACAAGCCATCCTCCCTGGCTCCCACCTCAGCCTCCAGAGTGGCTGGGACTACAGATGCGTGACAGCATGCCTGGCTAATTTTTGTAGAGATGGGGTTTTGCCATATTGCTCAGGCTGGTCTCAAACTCCTGGGCTCAAGTGATCTGCCCAGCTCAGCCTCCCAAAGTGCTAGGATTACAGATGTGAGCTACAACTGGCCAGTGTTTTTATGTTTAAAGCCTTAGCCACAGTGCTAAGAATGTATTACCTAAGTTGTCTGCTGGGGTTAATGTCTGTCTATTGTATAACACCAACTAGAGCTCAAACCATGCCTCCTTCTTGCTGATTTCAAAAGCCAATTTTCTCTGTGCACTGGGAAGCAAGGTGCTAGAAGTGCTGGAGGTTTTAGGAGACAGGAGACTACGAATAGTCATCTAGAAGTATGGGAGAGTAAATGGACCAGGGAAATAGCAAATGATTCTTGGGTAGCCTAAAGGACTTGCTGAGCTAAGGAATCATAAATTTAAAGTGAGACTGGTAAATATGGTTACTTTTTTTTTTCCTCTAGGTATATTCCGATGTATGGGTATGGACAAGGAATTAAGTGCATACAAGGCTATATCACTATCATGACTAACTATAAAATTTAAGCTGGATAAGGAAAGTAAGACATCAGTAAAATCAGGGGCAGTATAAAAATTATAGATTTTAAAAACTGAGGGTTCCAATGGGCCTAAAAGACTTCAAAACTGTGAAATTGAGATTATGGAGGGGCTACAGTTTAGACAAAGATAAAATCTAGAAACGGTACATAGTGAGATGGAGTGGTGGGCAAAATTTACTGGAAGAGAGGAATTTCAGATTTGAAGACACCAGGATATTGGAAGAATTGTACATGTGAACAATAAAATCACCAAAAATCACAAAGCAAGCAGTGCTGGAACGAATGCCAGTGAACCAAGAACCAAAATCTATTAGGAGACAATTCTCCAGGGATCTTCTGTTTCTGTACATATTGTGAGAGGAGGCATTGACTGTCTTTGTTCTGGGCTATCCTTTTAACCATGTTAGTGTATCAAACAGCCCTGGAAAACAGTGTCTTCTTCCACAGCAAAGGATAGGTTTCTCTACACTCTTAGAAGAGACAGTCTCTTCCTCCCAAACAAGGGCAGACATGCTTAGTATCCATTATAAAAGATTCCAGTTCCCTAAGCTTGGGATTCCTCATCTGTCACTTAATCCACTGTGTGTGCAGGTATCATCTGGCTGTCTTCATATCACCCCTTGGGAATTAGAGAATTAGTGCAAGCAAATGCTGTCACTCTAGCTAATGTTTTTTGCTGTTAGTAATAAGATCCTTTGTCTCTGGCCCAAAAGTCTCCTGTCTTCTGCCATGAAACTATGGCAGGTTAACTTCTTAGCTTGCAAGTAGAGCAAATCTCAGACACTTCACAATTCTAAACAAAATCTCCAATGAATGCGAGATGGAAATGTGTGATGACTATAACTAACTGGATAGAAGGTGGTATAGTCTGATAACATGAGAGAAAATTTAGAGGTATTTGAGAAGAGAGAATGGTCTGCAAAATGCAACGTGAGGCTAAGACTACACCTCCAGGCTCAAAGGTATAATGAAGCAGGAGAAAATGGCCTCTACTTGAAAGGGTTGCAGGTAGTATCATCAGGGAAGCAAGATTTAATTTAGAACAAAATGTGACATAACATTAACAGAAGAGGCTGAAGATAAAAAGAAATCTGCTGATGACTGACCTTGAGTTCCAGGAACATTATGAAAGATTTTCAGGAGAGAGGGAGAGGCAGGTTTTAGGGTTAGTTTTGGATACATGTATTAAGAGACCTAAGTCTTCAGCTCCTTGCTGTAACTTACATGAATACGATAAAAAGTAATGATGAAATTAGTTATGATAGTTTTAATCAGATCAAATGTTTGCTTGTTTCTACATCCTTTGCTCCCCTTTTACCCACCCAATATCTATTATGAAGCGTTTTATTTCTTACTAACATCATTTCAGAAAATTTAGAACATATAAGTTTTTAAAAATTTAAATGCCAAACTGTTATTTAAGATAATAAGAAGCAAGTGTTAACTTACTTGAATTAGATCTAAAATGCCAAGTTCACTTTCTGAAGAATCCACACAGAAGACAAAATATAACGTTGCATAATGTCTATAAATCAGTTTGTTGTCGGATCCTCCAATTAATCTAAATGACAAAAAATTGTAATGTTACTGGAAACAAGCTGCAAAACATTTTCATTAGTTTGAGCAAACTGACAATTTGTTTAAAAACCACTTGTCAAACGAAAGGTGACATTCAATGGCATAGCATTTAAGTGAACTTATTCAGAGACTAGGTAAATTAAGATGGTTATTTTCTTCAGAAATGTCAAGTAAAAGAAACCAGTGCTTAATTTTAGTTCATTCATTCATTAATTTATTCTCTGAGTAACTGCTATGTGCCAGGCACTGGTAGTGGGGAAGGAGCAACAAACAAACACTTCAGAATCTTATCAGATAGTGGCAAGTTTTACATAGAGAATCAAAATACAATGATGATATATTGATGGGTTCCCTACATCAGGCTGAATATTAAGCAAGAATGATATTTAAGCTGAGATCTAATGATAAAGAGTTGACTTGGAAAAAATTTACAGAAGAGCATTTCAAGCTAAGGTAATAAGAAATTAAAAGGGATTTCATCAAGAACAAAGTATGTATGTTCAGGGAAGAGAAAAAAGGCCAGTAGATAAGAAAAGATTAGTAAATGATGAAGTCAGAGAAGTAGGCAGAAATTAGATCATGGGCCATTTTTAAGTGCTGACTAGATTTAACTCCATACATCACAGTAAGTTACACAGCTTAAGACTGATTATCAACTAGACAAAAAAGAAGAATGACATTTCTTAAGTTTTGGACAGATTTACCATCAAGATCTCTTCCAAAATTACATTGTTTTGAAATATAAATGCAGGAAAACTGAGCTAAGGTACTAAATTCTTTCATGAAATACTCTTATTTATGATTGGAATTTCAGTATTTTAAAAAATAATAATTTAGGAATCATTCCAAATATCTTATATTTTTCTAAATATAGTTTAGCTATTTAACAGTTGTTTATAATAATGAATTCATCTTCTTAAAGGACCCCTAAACACTTACATAATTTACAATCAAGGCTATATGTAACCAAAAGTAAATAAACATCCATTTCAACAGAATACAGGAAAACAGCATCTATTTCTCTTTTTTTGAGATAGAGCTTTACTCTGTCACCCAGGCTGGAATGCAGTGGCACTATCTGAGCTCACTGCAGCCTCTGCCTCCTGGCTTCAAGTGATTCTCCTGCCTCAGCCACCAAAGTAGCTGGAATTACAGGTGTGCACCACCACACCTGGCTAATTTTTGTATTTTTAGTAGAGACAGGGTTTCACCATGTTGCCCAGGCATATCTCAAACTCAGGAGATCTGCACACCTAGGCCTCCCAAAGTGCTAGGATTACAGGTGTGAGCCACTGAGCCTGGCCAGCATCTATTTTTTACTCAGTAAAAGTAATACTAAACTTATAAGTTCTGCAGAGAAAACTTCCCAAGGTATATACTACTTCTATGTCCTCTAATAGCAAAAGGAGAAATGATCTTTGACAAGAATAAAAAATTCCAACTATGCTAAAAACTCTTCTAGAGAAGATATTTAATTTTAAAATACCTACATACAATTTAAAGATTCTGAGAGTGTATTTATAGACTATGACTGCAACTGTTCCCTGAAAGAGGCAAAAAGAACACAAATAGGAGGCTTCACTTCATTTGGAATCAGCGATTTAGTGATTATCTTAAACTTTTGCTTTATTTTAAAAGAAATGCAAACTTCTGAAGAATCTAAGTTTCAGAAAGGCCATTAATGCTATTAAAAGCAGGCAAAAATATTAATGTGGCAAGTACATATTTTGCCTTTAAAAATATAATTTTATCTTTAAGCTATAATACTAATAAAAATTTCTATACAGAATGTAATATATCATATAAAACCATAGCTTTGAGAAATAACTCATTTTATAGAGGAGAAAACTAAGGCCCAAGAATTTAAGTGACCTGTCCAAGGAAATAAGCTTGTTATTGACAAAACTAGGATAAAACTAGGTGTCCAGCCTAGGAAGCAATATTTGCTTTCTACTTTTTGTAAGGTTAGAAAAGAACAATCACAATTTCGAGCCACAATTTCTAATTCAAATAGCACCCTATTTAGATTAACCAGGTTCTTACATCTACATGCAGTACACTGTGCCAGGTGGTAAGTTTCCTAGAAGATAAGAAATCAAGAGGCCAGGATGAGAGGAAGTGACAGTAATGTCCAAGACAACTAAAGTTAAATAAGTAGAAGTAAAATACAAAAACAGAAGCAGGTATACTTGTCTCAATTATTAAATTAGAAGCCTTGAGTTAACAGCAAATTTGTAAGTGTGTATTGCACATTTAAGGACAGCAAGATATAAGCTTTTAGGAAACCTAAGTAAGTGTTCCACATGATAAAAAGTAACTTGTGACCATGGATTCCCTGTTATCCAGACTATTTCTCATCCATCATACACACTAAAATAAAGAAAAGTCTAGGTTTCTCTGTCTGATTTATGTTTCAGAACAAACTGTTTTCATGGAAGTTATTAGTTTAAAAGTATTTAATTATAATGTTTGGCAAGCTAATTATAAGTAACTCTTATTCATTTTAAAAACAGAAAACTGATTAGCTGAATTAGGTACATTTGAAAAACAGACTTCAGTCTTGTAATGGTAAAATAAAGAATGTAATCTAATTTTTATGAACATTCACACAAAGGAACACTCTGTAGTCATTAAAAAGAATAAACTTGCCCTAGATGTGTTTATATGCAAAGATTTTGAAAATAGTAAGTGAAAACCAGCAACATGCAAATAAGCATACAGTGTGATCTCATAAATAAAAATTTTAAGGCTGTATGTTAGTCAACACATATAACATACTTTAAATGTTAGTCAATACAAATAATTTTCTAGAAGGATATACAAGAAATTGGATAGAAGGGCTAACGTTGAAAGATTGTTATTTTACCTGTTATACTTCCCTGTAATGTTTGAATTTTTAGCATATATATGACCTTTACATAAAATGCCCTTCCAAAATTTTTAAGAGGAAAAAAGATTGCATATCTTTAAAAAATAATTATTTAAGTTAGATTTATAGCTGACATAGGTGGTAATTAATTCACCTAATCCAATTAATCAAAATTAGGAAACTTTTATCATAAACTGATTAAACAGTATATATTTTAATCATATAGTCAAAACTTAGAAACATCTATGAAATGCTTTACTTACAATCCTCCTTCTAGGAAATTACAAACATTTTCATCTCTCTTAGATACCAAATGGAAAGTCTCCCTGATGATTTGCTGTTGTGTATCTTCACTCTGAGGAAGAATAATTCATATATATTAGGATTGAGTATATAGGTTTAATAGCATTTTAAGAATATTTAAAATCAAAGGTAGTAATATCTGTCTGGGAAATCCATCTAAGAGAGGGGTCTCTGGAGAAGTGACTTAAATTACACCTTACAGAAGCAAAATCCAACATTTTTTGATGAAAAGGAAAAACACAATTATTTATATTTACCACTATAATAAAAGTAACATATTTCTAAGTTTGAAAAACCAACAAGAAGAAATATTAAATTAATTACATAGACTGGTAAAAGGGAAACTAGATATTAACTAGTCAAAGCTGATTATCTTCCAAATGAGTACACTGAATCAGAAAGGGAAAGTTATAAATAATTAATATAGCTAATCTATATTTGAATGGAGAAAATAAATAGAACTATGGAGCTTCAAATTAAGTTTAACCTTTACTAAATACAAATTGAGGTAAGAGTCCATCCATCTTATTCATCTTTATATAAGCTAATCTAAAGCCAAGAATTGGCTCAATAAATATTTATTAAGCTCGACTAGGCAATTCATATTTCAGTAAGAGTCTGCTCCCTAAACACTGCAACAGAAATCTGAGCAAAAACAGGAATTTCACAGGAAAAGAAACACAATGGTCCACAAAGAAATGAAAAGATACTAAACTTCAGTAGTAATTAAGTAAAATAAAAATTAAAATAACAATGAGATAGCTCCACATGTATCATATTAGCAGAAATATAAAAACATGATAGTATCAAACGTTGACAAAGATGGAGAGCCAAAGAAACACTCATCTCACCAGTGGGAAGGTAAACATATAATCACCTGGGGAAACAGTTTTATTAACCAGCACTTTCTCTCCCAGATACTTTTCTAAACCATATGAAGCCAATGTTTGAAGATCAGGAACAACTGAATATTGGCAATTACATAGAAAGCTGACCCTTGAACAATGTGGTGGTTAGGGATGCCAATACCCCATGCATTTGGAAATCCATGTATAACTTTTGACTTCTCAAAAATGTAACGCGGCTACACTTTTTCTCTTAATTCTTAAAGTAAGCTAGAGAAAAGAAAATGTTATTAAGAAAATCATAAGAGAAAATATATTTGCTATTCACTGAGTGGAAATATATCATCACAAAGACTTCCTCTTGGTCTTCATGTTGGTAGGCTGAAGAAGCGGAGGAAGAGGAGGGCAAAGGCAGAAAAGGTGGAAGTGGTGGATAGGGAGAGTGGAGAGGCAGGTACACTTGATGCAATTTTATGGAAATACATAGTAATTTCTGTCTGCTGTTTTGCTTTTTCATTTCTCTAAAAATGTTTCTATACAGTACCAATCCTTTTTCCACTGACTGCTTTAGTTTTAGCACCCATATTATAGAAGGGTCCATGTCATAAAAGAAGTCAAAGCAGTCTTGAATAATTGGAACTCTTCTGCCAGACTGTCAAATGTCAATTTGCTTTTTGGTGCTGCTTCTATGTCTTCTTCCTCATCATCTGGCATTGATTCAGAAGCACTCATCTCCATCAAATGTGTTCTGCTAATTACTCTGTTTTGTGCTATGAACTCTCAGACTTCTCCAAAACCCTTATTTTAAAACCCTTCACTCTCTCGCCATTTTTGCCACATTCACAATCTCTTCCATGATTTCTCTGATTGGTTCTGTCATAAATCCTGTGAAGTCATGCTTAACATATAGACACAGTTTTCTTCAGCAGGAATTCATTGTTTCAGGCCTCATGGCTTTCACAACTTTTTCTATAACAACAATGACGTCTTTAATGATGTAATCCTTCCAGGCTTTCATGATATTCTATCAGGATTCTCTCACACAGTGTTGAAAATCCTTTCCATAAATACTGAGTGTAATGAGCCTTAAAGGTCCTTATGAACTTGATCTTTAGGCTGAATTAGAGACTTTGTGACTGAGGACAAGTCGACTACTTCAATGCCTTTGGTGTTGAACTCAAAGAGGTTCTGGGATGCCAGGGTCATTGTCCAATATCAAAAAAACTTCCCTTACTGGCAAGGTACTTCCTAACTTCGGGAACAATGTATCTATGGACTCAATCCAGAAAAAGGGTACTCATCCACTCTTTCTTGTACAACCAAGAGACTAGATGCTGGTGTTTATCTTTTCCCTTCAAGACTCAGGGATTTGCAGCTTTATAAAGACAGTCTTCATCATTAACCTGAATGTATTTGCACAAAACAGTAGAGTTAGCCTATACCTTCCTGCTTAAAATCCTGGTACTTGTTCCTCTTCCTTTCTAAAAAATGTCCTTTGTGGTAGATTTTTTTGTTTTGTTTTTTCAGAATAAGGCACTTTCATCTGCATTAAAATCCTGTTCAGGCAGACATGCTTTCTCCACAATGATTTTCCTGATGGCACCTAGAAACTCTTCTGTTACCTCTTGGTCAGCAACAGCTGGCTTCTTCTGTTATCCTGTTATACATTTTTAAAGTCAAATCTCTTTCTATAAGCATCAAACCATCCTTTGCTGGCATTAAATTCTCCAGCTTTAGATGCTTTACCTTCCTTATGCTATCATATAATGACTTTACTTTTTATCAAATCATATTCTATAGGTACGCCTTTCTTATAGCATACCTGCACCCACATGAGAGCTGCATTTTCAATATGAGATAAAAAGGCATTTTGCAAAAGGTGCAAAGTTTTCTCACTCACTGGCATAGCTATAGCTACAGATTCGTGAATTTTCTCTCTTTTTTCTTTTTTTCTTGAAATGGAGTCTCCCTCTGTTGCCCAGGTTTGAGTGCAGTGGCACAATCTTGGCTACTGCAACCTCCACCTCCCGGGTTCAGGCAGTTCTCCTAAGCCTCCTGAGTAGCTGGGATTACAGGCACCTGCCACCGTGCCTGGCTAATTTTTGTATTTGTATTTTTATTTTATTTTACTTTTTTGAGATGGAGTTTTTGCTCTGGTGCCCAGGCTGGAGTGCAATGGTGTGATCTCAGCTCACTGTAACCTCCGCCTCCTGGGTTCAATGAATTCTCCTGCCTCAGCCTCCCAAGTAGCTGGGATTACATGGCCCACCACCATGCCCAGCTAATTTTTGTATTTTTAGTAGAGATGAGGTTTCACCATGTTGGCCAGGCTGGTCTTGAACTCTTGGCTTCAGGTGATCCACCTGCCTCGGTCTCCCAAAGTGCTAGAATTACAGGCGTGAGCCACTGCGCCCAGCCATAATTTTTGTATTTGTAGTAGAAATGGGGTTTTGTCATGTTGGCCAGGCTGGTCTCAAACTCTTGACCTCAAATGATCCGCCCACCTTGGCCTCCCAAAGTGCCGGGATTACAGGCAAGAGCCACCTCACCCGGTCACAAATTTTATTTTCTTTATAATAGTCCTTTGACTGAATTCACTTATCTTGAAATAGTGGGCAACCATAGCCACAGACCTCTATCTAAGCTACATATCAAGCAACTCAACTTTTTCTTGTAATGTCATTACATTTCTCTGCAGCTTGGGAGCACTTCCAACACCACTAGTAGCACTTCATATGACTCTCACAGTGTTATTCAACGTTTATGATATTACAACAAACATGATAACAGATTACACAAGAATTGGGAGAAAGCACTTTTTACTGTGATGTGCAATTTACTGGAGAGACAAATTGCTCACCAGATGATTAGCATCACACAGCATTTTAAGCAGATTCTTAAAAAATCTGAATTTACCATAGTAACAACAGAATGTTGGAATTATTACAGTAGCATAGTATAAATCACAGTTGATTTTACACAGTTATAATACTGCATCTTTATATTTGTTTACAGTCCTCTCCATTGAGAGTAGCACCATGTCCAGTTTCCAAGTGTTCGCATAAATTTTGATACATTTTAACTTTTTACAATAGATTTGTGTATATTTTATGGTAGTAAATGATAAAATAAGCTAGTATCTACTGTGTTTTATGCATTGATGACATACCTCCAAAATTTTTCTTAATTTTTTTTATATTTCTAGGCTACATAATTTGCAAGTTTTTTCAATTTGTCAAAAATCCCCCAAAATTTCCCAGTATACTTACTGAAAAAAAGCTGCATTAGGTGGACCCTTGCAAGGGTCAACTGTACATAAAAAAATCTCTTAACCTGTGTACCGGGGACACACAGAAGAAAGCTCATAAAAGCATTGTTTGTTAACAATAAGAGAAGTTGAAAATGACACAAATGTCCACCAGTCACAGAAGGATAAACTATGGAATGGAATTGTACAATGGAATCCTATAAAAAGTACGTTGAAGAAAGAACTAAACCACACCTTTAAATATGAATGATTATTGGTTGGGCAAAGTGGCTCACACCTATAATCCCAGCACTTTTGGAGACTGGAGGGGATCACTTGAGCCCAGAAGTTCAAGACCAGCCTGGGCAACATAGCGAGACCCCATCTCAAAAAAAGAAAATTTTGGCCAGGTTCAGTGACTCATGCCTGTAATCCAAACACTCTGGGAGGCTGAGGTGAGATGATCTCTTGAGTCTAGGAGTTTGAGTCCAGTGTGGGCAACATGGCAAAACCCTATCTCTACAAAAAATTAGCCAGGAATGGTAGTGCATGTCTGTAGCCCCAGCTACTCAGGAAGCTGGTAGGAGGAATGCTTGAGCCCGGGAGGTGGAGGTTTCAGTGAGCCAAGATCATGCCACCACTATTCAATTTATATGACCTAAATAAAAACTCCCTACCATGTCATAAAACGTTCTCCAAAATCTAAGCCAGACCAATCCCTGAAGTTTCATCATCTCTTTATTCTCCCTAAATAATCTGCTCCAGCCACACTGAACTTCTTACCATTCACCTTCTTCATATTTTCCCACTTCTGTCTAGGAACAACTTTCTCATTCCATTCTCCAGCAACACCCTATCTAAGACATAGCTTGAACCTTATGACTTCTGTGAAGTCTTTCCTCACTCTCAATTAAAACTAGTCCTTCTTTCTCCATGCCTCCTTGGTACTGTTTCTATTCC